GTCAATCAAGTTTAAATAGGCCTCCCATAGTGGGACCGGGAATGTGAGGCCCGAGATGCCTATTAAACTTTTTTTTGGCTTAGTTCTGGTTAAATGAGGTGGGTGGATGTGTGTGTGTTGGGGGGGTGGAATAGAAAAAGTCCTTTGTAAGTCCAGCAAGCTGGGTGGCAGGGCTCCCTCAGGAACACAGAGCTGACAGGTAACAGTATCAACACCACAGTTGCGTAATTTTTAAATGAGAATGGGGTGAGAGACAGTGTTGAAGGCCTTTCTGAAGTCCAGAAAAACTATGTCCACCGCGACACCTGCATCTAAGGATTTTGTGACCTTGTCGTAGAAGGCCACCAGGTTGGTCTGACAGGACCTGCCCCTAATGAACCCATGTTGGTTGCCCCTAAGCATAATCTCCCCTGCTGGTCCCTCGCAGGTGTGCTCCTGGATAACTTTCTCAAAGAGCTTCCCCAGGACTGAGGTAAGACTAACGGGCCTATAGTTTCCTGGGTCCTCCTTCCTCCGTTTTTGAAATGGGGACCACATTGGCTTTTTTCCAGTCCGTTGGCACCTGGCCAGAGCACCATGAGTGCTTGTAAAGCCGTGCCATGGGTCCCACAATGACCTCTGCCAATTCCCTCAGCACTCTGGGGTGGAGATTATCTGGACCTGCTGATTTGAACACGTCCAGCCCCACCAGAAGTTCCCTGGCTGTGCCTCTCCTGAGTCCCTCCGGCATCCTGGTGGGGCGATGTCCCAGTCCCTGCTCAGATAAACGGAGGCAAAGAATTTGTTAAAGAGGTCAGCTTTATTGTCTGGTACAACCACCAGATTGCCAAGCGTGTCCTGCAGGGGCCTTACGTTACCTGGTGCTTTCTTTTTACTCCCTATGTATTTAAAAAAGGATTTCTTGTTATCTTTGATGCTGGTCCTAGTTCTGTCTCTGCCTTAGGCTTCCTAACAGCTTCCCTACAGTCTCAAGCAGTGGAGGTATAATCCTCCTTGGTGATGGCCCCTCCCTTCCATTGGGTGTATGCCTCCTTTTTAGCTTTCAGATGTTCCTGAATGCCTTTGGTGAGCCATGGGGGCTTTTGAGCACTCTTGCCCCCTTTGACTTGCATTGGGACTATCACCCTTTGGGCTTGGAGGATTGTCTCCTTAAGGAACAACTACTTGTCTTGGACTCCCAACTCCCCTACCCTCTGGGACCTCAGTGCCTCCCCAACTAATCTCTTTAACTCATTGAAATTGGCCCTTCTGAAGTCAAGGGCTGCTGCCTTTGGTGAATAGTGGATGGTGAATTCCAGTAGGCGATGATCACTATCTCCCAGGTGGTCAAGAACCCACAGTCCCCTCACCAGGTCATTGCCTGTGGCCAGGACCAGGTCCAGCAAGGCATTTCCCCTGGTGGGACTATGCACCTCCAGGGTTAGGTGGAGGAACCTAAGTGAGCGGTCAGACCTGGCTGACTGCTCCTCCCAGCAGATGTCCGGGTAGTTTAGGTCGCCCATGATGACCACATCCCTTGACTTAACTTTCTCCACAAGCTGACCTGAGAATTCCCGGTCCAGCTCTTCCCCCTGGTTGGGAGGTCGATAGTAGACACCCACCATTAAGTCCCTTTCCTCCCAACCCCCTTGTATTCTAACCCAGAGCACTTCAGTCTGCCCCTTCTCTGACCCCATGCTGTTTGTTTTGGACATGTATTGCTCTTTGATGTAGAGCGCCACACCCCCAACTTTCCTCCCTGTTCTATCCTGCCTGACCTGTCTCTAGCCCTTGATGTTTACTGCCCAATCATGGGTTGAATCCCACCGGGTTTCAGTGAGCCCCACTATGTCCGGGTTCATATTAGCTCGCAGGAGGGCAAGTTCCTCCTTCTTGTTCCCCATACTACGAGCATTAGTATAGAGGCATTTAAGGCCTCCTATGGGTGTGTGCACCTCCCCTCTGATTCCAGGACTATCTGGACCCGTCACTTACCTAGATACTTCTTGTGCTCGTCACCCATCTTGGCTGGGAGGTGTCTTCGTGTCCCCCTGTGGCCCCATCCCCTGGCGAAGCAATTTCAAATTGCAATTTCTTAACTTTTGTGGAAACCGTGAAAAATGGCAGTTTTGGTGAGCACTGTGAAAAACAGCAGTTTCCAAAATTTTGCTCACAATCACTGGAAAAAGCAAGCTTAGAAAAAATAAAATGCTGGCTTCCCAGTGGGAGCCAGCAGCCGTTGCGGCCCAGCCTTGCAGCCCACCAGGGGGTTGGAAGGGGGAAGCCGCCAACAAAAAGGGGAGCAGCTAAGATGGCTGCTGCCCCCTCTTCCCTTTGCTGCTGATTGGCTAAGAGGGCTGGCCTTCATGCAGCCCCACCCCCTCTGTCAATCAGTGAGAGAGGGTGGGGCTGCATGAAGGGCAACTCAGCCAATAAGTGGCAAGGGGTGGTGTTGCTGGATTCCTTGGCCAATCAGCAGTGGGGAGATGTGCCACAAAAAGACTGCGAAAATGGTGCCAGGCACCATGAGTGGCCCACAGTTTTTGCTTCGCTTCAGTGCTATTTAAGTAGATCCTGATTTATGACTTCTGTATCTTAAATCACTGATGTTGCACTTAAAAACAGGTTGCACCCATTGGGCCTCGATCATTCGGTCCCACACCGCTCGGCTCTGGATTTGTAGGGTGGTTCTTCGCTCTGTCCCTACAGTCTCAGGGTGTCTGTGTCTCTCCCCAGGCGGTCTTATCCCCCAATCCCGCCTGCCATGACTTTGATGCTTCTTTCAGTGGAGGGGTCTGGCCACCGGGGTACATTTATCCAAGGCCTGAGGGCGGTGGTCTTCCGCGAGGCTCCAACCTCCCCTGTACCTCGCCCTGAACCCAGCCATGATGGAGTGCCGATGTTCTTTGTGGCTTACCCTCCCTATGCAGGTTCCTATCTCAGGTCTTGCTAGGGTCCCAAGATACCCGTTAGGGGCCTATGTGCCCGTCTAGGTCCCCTATCTAACAGGAGCTTCCTTAATGCTGGGAGCTCTTGGCTTTCTGTTATCCTACGTCCTGCTCTCTCCCAAAAGCGGAAACAACAACGGAGAAACAAATGAAACCAACAGCGAAAGTTATCTACAACTATCGTGATCCTCTGATTATTACCCTCAGGCAGCTTAGTACTAGCGTGCCCTAAATCGTGCGGTCCCACCACCAGCTTTTCCCTCTGTGCCACCTTTTTCCCCTTTTCCTTTTCTCTTAGTGTCAAATACATTAAACCGACCCTCAACGTCCCTCCTAGCATGGACTATTGATTTTTCTCTGAAGTGTCGTCAATTCTATTCTCAGCAGCATCAACTGCTGTCGTGGCCGTTCGCCTCCCTCTTGGGAAGATCCCTGAGACCAGGCTAATGCCTTTAAGGATCGCTCTTGACCCGGTGCCTTGTGTCTCTTGGATCCCTCTTTTCTCCAGGGTTTTCTCACCAGAGTACCTTACTTGCTCGCTGGGCCTCCAAAGCCTCTTCCCAGGGTCCTAATTCGACATGCAGCCTGGGCACCTCCTTTTCCCTTGATCTGGCAACAGTGTCCCTCTCTTGAGGATCTCCGGGGCAACCTCCTATCCTGTGGGAGGTATGCTTGCCTGTTCCCTCCTCCGAGAGGGGTCCTGGGGATACTTCCCCCATGCTTCTCCTCAGCCTCCTCTTCCCCCTCTGCCTCACTAGCCACTCTTCTTATTTTGTCGTGCTGGGTCTCCTCTCTCCTCTCACCAGCTGGCCGAACTTTTAAAAAGATGCGGCTAAGAAGCCGCGCGGGTCCCACCGCCGCTTCTGGTCCAGCTGCGGTTCCTGCTGCAGGTGAGGAGTTTTTGTTTGTTCTCCCCTTTTCTGTGTTTCCCCTGGGGTGTGCTGGCTCCTGGGGGTCCTCCTTGACCCTTTGGGGTCCGTTTCTTGCCTTTTCCCCGGGACACAGGTTTTTAAACCTACTGCTCGAAGAATTGACACAGCACTTGGTTGATAAATAGCAGAAAGGCTTGCTTTAGTAACTAAAAGTTATTAAGTTAATAAACTAAATGACAGAAAAAGACTTCTTCCCAATATAAAATGAGCTATTAGTCCTTGTCTTGGCAGGTAAGAAAATACATCTTTATCCAGTGCAGGCAGGAACCAGTTCTTGTACAGCTTCACAGCATGGATTCTTCACTTATCGGCTGGGTAGCAGGATGGCTTTTTGGTCTTCCCTGGACTGCACACACCTTGCTGGCAGTTCTGTCTTCCTTTATACTGTTTAATTGTACAGCTTCAAAACATTTTTCCTTGATAGTTGGCCGATTTAAAGTTTGCACAAAACAGGGAGGAAGAAGGTGACCATCATATTACAATTGTTAAATTGCCTGGATCCCGTTTTTGGATTTGTCTAGGTGTGAAGACATGTTTTTCGCAGCCACTGCAATTACAGGTGATGGGTTTTGAGTGGTCGAACAGGATGCTTATAGGCATTGGTTACCGGACGTTCTTTGGGTCTTTGTTTATCAGTGGGGCAAATTCACAATAGCTTGTACTGGTGATAATCTATTTACGAAACTCCAGATGCATCAAATGATTGAGATGTTTGTAACATCTTAGACCAGGGGTGGGCAATTTATTTCAGGCAGAGAGCCCTTTACCAAATTTTGGCAAACCATCAAGGGCTGCATGGGTAACCTTGCCCCTTGACAGGTGCCCCACAGATACCCCACCCCTTGGCTGCCATCTTGACAGGTACCCTACTGCCTGGTCCTGCCCCCTAACCTCTAACCCCTGAACTTTGCCACCAGAAGTCCCTGTGGGGTGTGGGTGGGTATGTTTTGTGGGGAGCTGTATGTGTATGTGTGTGGGAGGAGGGTTGTGGCATGGGTGGAGGGGAAGGGTTTGCCCACAGCCTGCCCCCCTCCCCAAGTGTGGCAGGCAGAGCCCTTGCCAGTGCTTCTGCAAGCCTGGGCTCCGTGCTTCTGCTACTCCTGGCCCAGGCCCTGTGTTCCCGCTCACTGCCACTTGCCTCCAGTCTGCCACTGCTGCCCTGCTCCGCTGTCTCTGCCTAATGGGTTGCAAGCCGTTAGCAGAATTTGATTTTCTTGCAACAGTCTTGTTACCACAACCCAGTTTTGCCCCAGCCATTGTCTTGCATTTTTGTGCAACAGACATTATCCAGTATTTCAGTTTTCATATCCAGCAGTCCCCTCCTTGATGTGCACAAAGCATTTATGGAGCATCACTAAAATATTTTGTGCATAAGTTAGTTATTAACACTTTGTTACAAAAGTGATTAATTTTAGTGTCACTGGGACTATATTACGATATAGCTGTAGCTTAACTTTGATAGGCTATACCATTTACCAAGGCACAAAGATATAAAATTACAACTATTCATTAATAAAACATTGCAAAAACATTGATTAATAACAATACACTCCTTTTTAACATTTGCCCAGACATTTCCCAGTTCCCTCATTTCTAAACTGCTATATGCTTTGGTAGAGAAACCTTAGGCTGGACTGTTATTGAGACTGGAGGACCTGGGCTGGATGTGTATGGGGAAACCTGAGCTGCAGGACTTGCATCTTGATTGAAGTGAAGGGAGGAGGCTGTAAAAGAGAATTCTTGGCTAAATTGATTGGCAATTCAGTATAAGACTCAAAACTGAAGGACTGCTTTGTAGAAGCTTGAGTTTACTATAGCTCCCTCTTCAGTCTTGTCTCCCAATCTGTTGCCTTTGTGCTTCCATTCCTCCTTCCCCTGCTACTCCCCATTCACTCTTGGTCCCTCAGTAGTCCTCCTCTTCACTTTTCCTTAATTACATTGTCAGGCTTGGCTGCAGTGGAAAGACTTGTATTTACACAGCCAGAATGTCAAGTGGAAGGAGGTCTGGGCAATAAATCATCATCGGCACTGTGAGTTGAAGAGGTGCATGAAGGCCTGGCAGGGATACCTCCAGCTCCGAAGAGTTAAAAGGCATCGGGACAGTAAGTCAGAGTGGAGAGGTGGGACAGAATGACTTCCGTAACTGGCTAGTTCCTGGCTCCTGCTAGAAGTTTTCTGCATTAGAAAACATGGTTGTTTGTTTGGTGGTTTAGCTGAACTTCAGAGTCCGGGGCTCACTGACTAGCAAGGACTGCATGCTGAGCCATTGAGAGAAGTACCCAATATTTCTTTTTTATTGGAAGGAGGATGGGTATGGTTTTGAAAAAGGGAAGCATTATATTGTCCTCTTTCAGTATGGCTTGTCTCTGATGTTATCTGTGAGGAGGAAGTCTGAGGCCAAGTTCAGGCCTAATCTGGATCCATGCAAATAAGCAGAACAATGACTGGTGAAAGAAGTGGTTGTAAGGATTCTGCACCAAATGCTTCCCTGGTAGAGCTCTAAAGAAATTCACTGAGATGAATTTGGTCTTTTGAGTGAATACCTAAGACTTGGTGATAATCCAGCCTGGTTCTCTGGGAAGTGGTAAATATGAAACCTTACAGTGCAAAGAAGCTGGTATGCACTGAAATGTATGCTAAGCTGCAGATTTTAGGTCTGTGCTCTTAAGTGACAGAGGATTTGAGAGAGTGTTAGGGAGAGGGAAACCCTTGCTTGAAGTTGGAATGTTACCACACTGGGATTGCTTACTCACACCAAGAGGAGGAATATAGCCCACAAGTAACTTAGTCACCAAAGCTGTTATGAATTCCTCTAATTCCTGCTGATAGCAGAGTTGCTGTCACTTCAGGTAATGATGTACAAACTGTGTGCTCTAATCCTGATGTACACAAGGCTAGAGCAAAGATAGTTATTCACTTGTAATGTTTGTCTGTTTTAGAGCTGGCCCAGAAACACCACCAGGGCCATGTGCTCCAGCAATGTTTCTCAAGCTGGCAGCTGGCCTGGGAGCACCAGAGAAGCATGAGAGTCCATCAGGAGTACATTGGTGAGCTAGCAGTAAGGAGTGCCTTACGGAGGGTCTTCACACACTGGAAGCATTGTATCCTTTTTGTGGGTCACCATTAAAGAAACCAGGCTCAGGGTATTTCTACAGGGAAAGGAGCAAGTGAAAGTAATGGAAGAAACAGCATTTGCTTCAAGAAGTGGTAGGTGCAAGAAACACTTCCTGACTAAATGTAGGTAAGTCTGTGAGGAACAAACTCAGGAAGGAAACAAGACTTGTTGCAATGAAATATGCTAGCGTGTTTGAAGCTAAGAACCTGTGAAGGCTAAGATATGGATGGAGAGAATTGCTCTGTAACATCATGCACTTCTGCTGTAGTGTTAAATTAGTGATTATTTTTAAAAGACCCTCCCCCATCCTCACGTTGTATTCAAAATATGATGATCCCAGCGTGGAGAACCCAAATGCTACGGCAGTTTGCAGGAGCAGGTCTCTGCTGGTTTCTGAGGATTAATGGCATGTGTTGTGGGAGCCTATCAGGTTGAGGAGTTTGTGCAAGACATTTTTTTTTAACTCAACAGATATGGTACTGTGCAGGGAAGAAAACTGGCAGCATGAGCTGGCCAAGAAGCATCACAAGCACCATCTGTTGGTAAGAACTTTATGATATCTCAGGTGAGCAGGAGCCTGGACTCCTTGGATGTATTTAAGATAGTTGTGTTTAGCAGCATGTGGGATCGCATAAATGTTGACTGCATTGGGTTACAGAATTTTCCTCAATGATGTGTTTAGTCATGCAAACTTCAACTGTTGTGGAATCTGCCAGACTAGCTGTTTGGCAGCCGTTGTGTGCAGGGATGGTACAGGGGCTCCTCCTCCTATCCAGATGTGGAAGCTCTGCTTCCCTCTGAGAAATTCATTGTTTTAATCAACAGGGTTGAGAAGTAGCAAATCAGTCCTGACCTCTTGAGCCCTTCATGCACTCCCTGGCCCCTTTCATATGGAATAGTGTTTTCCATTTTTTATTGTTGGTGATTTCTTTTTCCACCTTTGCTGTGTGTGAATGAGTTACTGCCCCAAATGCCTGTGTTCCTTCTTACACTGCTGTGTTGCAGGATTCATGTCTGCACTCCCCTCTGTAATAATCTCAGCATACACCAGCTTCAGAGTCCCTGAATTGGCTCATGCCTTTGGGGAAAGTTGGGATTTCGCATCTTATCCTTACCTCCCTCCCAGCAGACGTGTTCTTTGACTTTTTTTTGAGTTACAGATCATTATGCTCGTTGAAAGTGAGGTTTTTCTGTAACATAGGCAAGCGGCTGTCATCAAAAAACATGTCCCTAAAGTCGGTGGAATTGTATTTTGAAAATGGTAGCAATAGTGTAAGAGGGCATATAAACTTTTCAAGGCAGAATGTTGTTCTAGCACAATAATATTCCCAACATCAGAGCATTTTGGGATTTTAGTCCTGGGAGAGAATGGGAATTAAAAAGTTAGAATATTGGGAAAGGGGTGTGTGGAATCTCTTTTCCTAGGTGAGAAGGAACTTCAAATGGAAGAATCTGTGGGTTTCTTTTGTTCATGCATAGGAGCAAATTGTCAATCTCCAGTTAGAGAAGATGGGCAGGGTACAGGCTTTGTTGGTTTCCACAAGTGAGGGGTAGAACCAGGACCAGTGGTTGCTGGGAGGGCTGGCAGGGAAAGGTCAAGAAGAAAGCCTGAAGGGAGGAGGATTTTAATATAGCTTGAGAACTAAAGTGTCTAATGAAATAGGGGAAGCTGAGGAATGCATGTATGTCTATGACAAGGCAGGCAGAAGGTAGGGCAGGGTGGCACCTTAGAGAGTAACTCTTTCAGAGAGGCATATGCATCTGACTAAGTAGGCAATCGGCTACAAAAGCTCATGCCTCTCTGAATGAAGTAGTCACTAAGATGCTACCTGCCCTGTCTTCTGCCTGACTTCAGACTAACACAGCTAATTACATGTCTGACAAGGCAGTAAGACAACAGCCTAATTTTGTTGTTAATTCCATGCCAGTACTGTGTGTAAGGCTCAGCTGCTCCTTGACAAATCAGCCCCTGCATGTTTAATAATTCACGGTGTACAATTGTTGAGTGCTGTTCTGCTGTTTTGTTTCCACAGCAATTTGGATTTGATGCCCTCCAGAAAAATGTTGTGAATGCTCGTCTCCAACAAATGAGAAAAAATTTGGCTCATCGGCAATATCAAGTCATGGTGGGTTGTGAGGGTACATGTGCTGTGCTGATTCTGTGAGACATTTTCCCCAAAACCTTCGCATAATAGCACTTACCTGGCAGGGGAAATACCATGACCACTAAGGTGGTTTTCCTAGTTGCAGGGAAAAGGCACTTTCTTGGCTGGGGCTAGTACCTTGACTGAGGTAATGCATAGATAGCTTCCCACTTTCACTTCCAGTGGGATTATCTTGGCTATACACCAACTTTATGGAAATGGGAGACTTCTCCCTAGCTTGCTCCTGTGGCTGTATGGCTGAGGGCAAATGACGCTCAGGGGCATCTGTGCCCCAAGCGTCCGGGCTTGGGCCTGCAAGTAGGATGCCTGCCAAAGGATTTGGAAGCATCTGAAGCCCCAGGCAGGGGTGGAGGATGTTTGCCAGTAGTATGGTTCTTGAATGACTCAGAGATTTGGAATTGATTTGGCTGATTTGATTTGGGCCATGAAAAATTTTCCTTAAAAACAAACAAACAAAAAACCCCCCTTTTCATAATAGCACCTACAAAATACTCTTCAGTCATTTGCATTTTTCCCTTGGTACGAACAGTTAAAAGTATATCTTATGTATGTCTAGGATCGGTGACAAATATATTGGCCTGGTTCTTTGTTTTTTATGGAGTCGCATCACAAACCTTTGCAACCTGGAAGAATTACAGTACATCTCTGTAATCCTGTGACAAGAACAAACTCATGTAAAGCAGGGCTATAGCAGTACCTATATATACCAACTTTTCTATAGCAAGGCTTTGGGTATTCATTTTGCATGTTCAGAGTAACATGAAGAAACCAGAAATGGACTGAGTTCATGCGCTTGCTTTTGTTTTTTAAGCATTGCTTTGGAAACTCCTTGCAGAATGCTAGGTTTTTTTTTGTTTGTTTTGTTTTTTGCTTTTCTTTTTTTTAAGGACATTTTATATACTCTATTCTACCACCTGCTTAATATGTGAGCATTTCTGTCTTTGCTCTTTTGCTCCAGCTGCTGCAGAGCTGCTGGAATTGCTGGAAATCTCGGCTAGAACAAGAAGAGGAAAAGCAGCTATGGTCTCTGACCCTTGCAGCTCACAGGCACTACCGGTCTGTAGGAATAGTTGCATCTCCATGTACCTAAGGAGCTGGAACTCCACCAACTCTTGATTTCTGGTTTTAGATCTAGTAACACTTCCGTGATTGGGATCCTTCCACTAGACACAGTATGCCTTTTTATAAAGAGCCCGGGAGTGAGTGCACATATCTGAAGAAACTTGTATTTTCCCCCCTGTATCGTAGCTGAGTTTGCTGAGCCCCTGAACTCAACTTGGTGACACTTCTCCATCCATATGATGGTGGCTTTTGAAAGCCATGTGCAACTATTTTCAAAATTTAAGGGATTTTTTTTTGGCTTTGGTGATCAAAACCATTTTTGTTGTTGTTTTGTTTTTCACCTTCCCTCTCTCTTTGTAGAGGAGGGGAAGGGCAATTGGAAAACTCAACGCAGGGGGAGGGAAATGGGGAGACAGAGTCCATGATGGTTTGTTTAGCATAGTCCTACATTCTAGGTCTGTAGCTGTCTATAGATCAAGCAATTAATCATGCCTTCCAACATGACAATGCACCATCTCATCTCTTTCCGCCCTCCCAATAGTTTGATATGCACACTCCCTGAATGATATAATGAGAAAAAGATGTGGTGGAGGAGGATTGGAGAAATGTGGATACATAGCATGGGTTGGGCATACAGACCCAAGGGGGATATAGACCTGAGGAAGAGGGTGCACACAGCTGCTTTGATGGGGAGAACATGGGAATGGGGGTGACAGAGCCCTGATTTTTTGGGAAGAAAGTGGGAGACGCTCTGTTGAATGAAGCTGCGAAGAAGAGGCATGGAGTCCCTGTTGTGAAAGGGAAGGAAGGGATAGAGGCTTAGTAGGGAATGGGGTTGTACAGAGCTTTTGGCATGGGGAGGTGAAGGAGGAATGGAGACACATGCACACAGTCCCTGGCATGGAGGAAAGGATGAAGGAGAGCATAGTCTCAGACATGAGGGGAGGTGGGGTAGGTGAAGTTGCAGGGAGTACATACAATAGAGAGGACTGGAATGTGGCACACAGGGTTAGTGGGGATGATTAGAAGGATACAGGTATCCTGTAGTGGGTGCAATGATCTTGGCCTAAAAAAGCTGTGAAGCATGCAATCCTCTGCTAGATTAACATGCAGCACCCACCTTTGTTGCCTCACTTTTGGTGGGGCAAGAGGATACAGCATATGGCATACCTGTAGAGCCTTCTGAATTAAGTAATACAGTTGTGTCCTCAGTGAGAGGCAGCTGGCTGTTCAGGATGCTGAGTTAGGTGGAGCTGTCCTTGGTCCTGAGCTGTTACCTGAAGTAAAGGATGGATGTTTGCCAGAGGGCTGACTTAGGTATGTTTTATTTCAGAATAATTTTGCTACGCAAATCTCTCAGGCTATGGCTAGAGAATGCCAGGTGGAGAAGACACAGGCAGGTATGTGATACCTAGCATGCTTAAGTAGCTTTCACTGTCCATGGACTCCATAGCTGCAGTTATTTTGCAGTGTGTTTGCTGGTGATGCTGAGCTGTGCCTGGAATTCACATACTTTGAAGCCTTTCTCTAATGCAGAAAATACTCCAGTAATTGCTTCCAGATATGAGTGATTCTGATTTTGCTTGATAGCATTTAAATGGAGAATTTGTTCCAACAGTTGCTTCAGATTCTCTGTTCAAGTTTTATTGTAGAGCTTAGAAGGGAAGTTGCTGTCCCCTGCATTGATGATAAAACAGCACAGATTGGTTAGTCCATTTCTCTGGAGGAAAGAAGAAAATGAATATGAAACCAGCTGCATCTGCCCAAATTCATCAGTTTTAGGAAACAGAAATAAAGCTAGGCTTTGAGGGGGAAGAGTGGGTTTAGATCTTCTTACATTCAGATTAGAAGACATTATTCGCTGCTGTCTTCTCTCCCTCACTGAGTGACTGGCCATTAAATACTGGCTCTTTCCTTTTTTCATTTCTTCTCCTCGGATTCAAATGTGTAATCTGACAACTGTTTCCAGAACCTGGATGTATGTGATTGAATTAAATGAGCCCCCAAGAAATTCAGACCTTCTAAACATTTGGATTAGATCAGAGGTTCTCAACCTGTTTTAGATTCTAGGTACCCCTCCATAATTCTTCAGAATTTAACAGCACTTCATTAACAAAAATAATTTATTTATTACAGGGCTCACCTCTTTGCATAGGGGCCAGGCAGGGATGAGCGATCACTTGCCTCCTTGCACTCTGATACACCCTTAAAATGATCTCATGGCACTCTAATTGAGAGTTGCTGAATTAAGATAAACAATGATGCCACATGTACCAGGCAGTGAGCTAAAGCTGTGTTCTGTATTGGAGGTCGTTGCTGCCTCCCTCTTGGAAAGAACAGTTGCATAAAGATCAGAAACAAACCCTCAGAACTCAAAACCCATAACTCTTATACGTGACCTAAGGCTGTCTGTTTCGGGTTGCTTTATTGCACAAGTCCCTCAGATGGGAAGGACTTGAAAGGCTCAGAAATGAAATCAAGCTTGTTGCTTACTTTTAGATCCAGCGTGCTAAAGCTGATAACCACTATGGGAAGATGATCTTGCCTGTCACCTTGCAGGTTTGGAAACAATTTAAGAATCATCAACAAAAGTGGAGAGAGATGAAGGAAACAGCATTGTGCTTTCACAGGTACATTGGATTGTTCTTATGGATTTTTTCTAAATAGGCGTTGCGCACTGGCTTGTTTTGTATGGGGCTATGGCAGCTTTGGTCAGATGTAAGGAAGAAACTTAGTGTTTGGTATTTCACTTTCTCTGTCTAGTGAAAAAGAGATTGCTTCCTGGGTCACTTGTGTATATTTCCACTTGTTGCAAACAGTTTGCCTGTCTTGACATCAGGGGGCACCATAACCCACAAGTCAGAATGCCCAAAGACCAGCAAATAAATAATGTTAGAATTGGAAAGCGTATTGCTGCTGGAAAGATTCGGCACGAGACTGAGTCTGTTAGACTCAGCACGAGACTGCCTGAGAAACCCTACAGGCTTCAGTTTGTCTTTGATGCAAACTTGAATCTTTTCTTCATCAAAATGTGAACCAAAATAACCACGTTGGTTGTGGTTCACAGCTTCATCTGTCTGCACTTCATGCGTGGGCCTTCTGCATTCATTTTGAGTTGCCTTTAGCTAGGTACAGATGTTCAGTTTCTACTGGGAGAATTGCTAGGAAACCTTTCTTTTCCCCTTCTTGAGTCAGAAGGAAAATATTTTTCTTCCCCACTGGAAAGAAATTGGGGCTCTGGGCCCAGTAGGCTTTTCAAGTTTACAAAATAGAAATGGTCATGTACTATTTTTTTCCTTAGGCTAATTATTTTTTACTATCAAAAACCACACTTAACAGGTTAAAAACAAGCCACAGACCGGCTCTGGAGTGTCTCTGAAGTTAGCTTGCATTGTAGGAGACTGGCAGATGAATTTGGAGGGAAGAGTTGAGTAATGAGGGCAGCTGCATCTCTGAAAGCAGTTAAAGGAATGGTATCTGCTGATGTGGGAATGCAGCTGTGAACCATTGTCTCAGATTTGTTGGAATTTGTTGGATGGGGAGTGTGCTTGATGCTGACACCCCCCCCTTTTTTTTTTAATTCAAGAGGCTGAAACTTGAGGTGAGGAAGGAGAAAATTGGCTCTAGCATGAATCTGCTAATGTGATGCTTGTGCCTCCCGAGCCAGAAAAGGGATTTGGCAGATGAGAAGAATGTACAGATATAGCAACCATTCAGCACTTGTCTCTTGACCTTGTTGAGTTTCTTTTAGACTAATGTTATCAGATGTTTTGGGTGCAGTCCTCTATTTACAAAGAAAGTACACAAAGTCTGGAACTCAATAGGAACAAACATGCTTTTTGGCTTCCACCCAGAGCTACACTCACTGATATATGTATGTCTTGTTTCTATATTTGATCTTAGTCTTGCTGTATAAAGGTTCACCAATCAAAGGTCCATCTGCTGCATTTACTGCCTGTTCCAGGGGATTCGTGTCCCTTTCTCAAGTTAATTCTTGCTTAGACTTCCCACCAAGTTCAATTTCTGTTGGCATGGTGTCCTCTTATATCAGCTTTTCTGGCCCCCCCTTATGCATGCACGGGCATACTCTTTCATCCTCCATTTTTGGCCTGAGTGAAAAAGGACATGAATGCCCATGAGCTCCAAGGTTTCTGATTGCCCAGGGATCAGACATGCATGCTGGTAGCTAGCAACACCCTTCAGCACAGCTCTTCTAACTTCCATGGCTTTTCAACCTATTAACTGGTATTCATGTCCCTGAAAATCTTCCCTAGCAGCCCTTCTTCTCACAAACTGCACTAGCACCGGAGTCCTCTCCTGGGCCTCTATGCTAGGGAACTGCTGGGACTTGCTGGCAGGTTAGTAGTAGACCTATCTTAAGGTATATCAAAAATAGTCTCTCTTGTGCTTGGAACACTTCCTGTTGGGCTGCAGCCTAAGCTTCTAGGCTGATGGACTTTCACTACACTTTTACAAGGGGTGGGTGTGTGTAAGTTTATATATAGTAAATAGTAACAACATCTCTCCTGACCCAGAATGTTAGTTTGTCATTTGTCACTCTATACATGCTCAGTGATGTGAATGGAAATTGGAATGGTCTTCTGAATAATCTGGCTGGAAGCAAGAAGCATCTGTCAAGGGACATGTGAACATTTATTTATCATCTAATGGCATGGGAGGAATTTCAAAGTAGCTGTCCATCTGGTTGCATAACATACTTGGGGCGGGGGGGAAGTTTGTAGAATAGTGGGGCTACGTAGCTGACTTACTGAGGACCCTTGCCTTGAAATATCAGGTCAGGTAACTGCATAATAAATAGACTGACCTAACCATGGTTCAAATCCCATTGTAGTCCACAGTCATCCTTATAGCTGGCTGAAAGATTTGCTTGTTCTACTGATGCTATTCCTTCTTGCTTGCAGGGAGGTCTGGACTAGACGGACATTTGATATGTGGTGGCTAAGGACACATCAGCAGCAAGAGAATCGAACAGCAGAGAGAAGGGTGAATACAGTGCTTTCCCTTATTTAACCCAAGGGGATGGATGGGATAGTTCCCTAATCAGCTGGTGTGAATGCAGGCTACACAAGATGATCTTGCACTGATTGTTGTTGTCCCTCAAGTGGAGATGAGCCACACAGGACTGTTTTCCTGTGCCTGTTTCCTCTGACTGAGGAAGCTTGTCCTGCTGGTTATAACTGGTTTGTGTCATGAAGTTACCAGCTTTTTCCTCTCAATTGCAGGCTGTTCTTCACTTTGAGTGGCAGCTGTTGGTTCGTTTCTGGTGTTCCTGGCGCAGGAGAACAGAAGCATGCTTAGAGGAGCAAGAGGGCCTGGCTCAGGCTCATGATCATTACTACCATCTGCTCCTGCTAAAGACTTTTAATCTCTGGAAGAAGAATGTTCAGGCGATCAGAATAGAGTAAGTGGCAGCCCAGAAGGGGTAGTGATCCCAGTCCATTTCTACAGCTGGCCCCTTTTATAAAGAAGTATCTGATTCACAGCTTGCCACCCTTTTGTGTGCTTTAGAAACTGCTTGCATGTCTTTGTTTCCTGAATATGCAGGAGTGTTTTTCTGGCATGATGGCAAATATGGGTTTGGGTTTCATGCTCAATGGGTCTGGATCGAAGTTGCACAGTAAGAAAACTCTTTTCTTCAGGAGAATCAAGGAGGTGAAAGCCTTAAGATTCCATTATTCAAAGAGTCTGCGGTGGTCTTGGAGCAAGTGGAGAGAGGTGAGAATCTTGGCAGAAGGAGAAAGGTTTGAATCCTCTACCATCTCCGAGTTGCTTGTAATCTTTATTTGGCTGCTTAAAAATATTTACAGTAACAAAAGCATTGTGTATTCTTCAATAAAGGTGGTTAATCTTGCTCTTACCTAACCAAAGTCTGTCCTTTTCTAAGAAGGGTAAGTCAGTGTAATGTGGGAGGAATAGAAATTGCGTTTAGAGGACTGAGGAAGATTTCAGTTTGTTTTGCACTGGCTCTCCTGCCCAGGGTAAAGTGTGTAGGGAGAGGACAGGACTGTAGCTAAGTGTGGGTTGCCTTAGAATAGATAGTGGTTACAGAGGTCTCTGCATCTCTGTGGAGACCTTTCTCACCATTACACCATCTCCTTCCCCAGCATCACTGAAGTGAAGGGCTGTAATCTTTGAGGCAGTGCCTGATTTAATTTTTTTTTTCCTTCTCAGGAGCGTTTCTTCTAAATCCCCCTTTGGGCAGAAGGCAGTTAAACAGTGCAAGTCATGCAGTGGTTGGTGTATACTGCAACCTTCAGACATCCTTCTGTTTTTTTCAAACTTCCCCTGTTTGCTTTTTTAGACTATCTAATGCCAGTGCAGACAGTTCATAGGGACCTGTGCTACACCCATTTATGGGGGTGCAGAGCTCTCACCTCTGTCCTGCTAGGGCAGTATGGTCTGTCAGCAGGGAAGTAGAAGCCCAGGCAATATGCTATGGATAAGATGCTGTTGGCTACATTAGCTTGGCACAGTGTTGTGGGGTTTTTTGAGCACTCGGAGAAGAGGAAGCTAATAGCAGGGTCCATTGTTGGTTGGGATTACTTGTTTTTGAGTTACGTTACTCCCTTGAGATTTGGAATGCTTATCTTCTTGCTCTCTCTCTCTGCGCCTGCTCTGATCTCTTTCTCCCTGTGCCCTCTTTGCTTGTAGTATATGGAGCGTAAGGGTGAGAAATGGAGGAAGCTGATGCGAGCAGACATGCATTATCAGCACTCAGTGCTGCACAGGGTCTTGAGAGCCTGGAAGGTAGGAGACCTCTTTCATTACAGGGTCTGCTATGTCTGAGCAAACCTTCACTCTCAAGGTCAGAGCTGCCCAAGTGGTTGACTAGGGGCTGGCCTGCCAAGGGGAGGATGAGGCAAAGTTCTGCTACATGGAGTGGAGAGTTTGCACTCAGCTTTATTGATGGCTTTGGCGTGAAAGGGCCCAAGTTGTCTCCTTACTTGTAAGGCTGAGATAAGCAGTAAATTCCTAAGAGTCACTGGTGGGTCATGGCTGCTGTGAATCAGGAGGAGTGGTAGGCTTGGGTGGTTCCAGCTCCTCCATCTGCTTCTGCACCTTACAGCTGCTGAGGGCTCCCCAAAGGACTTCTTTCCTTTGTGTTGCTAACTGCTTGGGGAGGTCTCATCTTACTGACTTATTTTTTTTACAGAGTTACCAGTGTAACGTACAGCACATTCTACACCAGATTGCTGAAAAGGCGGAGGAACGGAACAGAGAGCTCTTGCGGTAAGGCTGCTCATCCCTGTGCAGTACTGGAGAAGGGTGACTTGCACATTCAGACAACACTGAGCTTCTCTGGCACCTTTACTAATTCTGAAATACTTGGTGCCAGTTCATCACTGCATCAGTGCTCCTCTGCATCTCAATAAAAGCAATAACAATAAGAATGGCAGAACTCCCTCTGGACTTGTCTGCCAGGCAGTAGGTTCCAGTCTCAAAGCTGTGTCAATCCTTTTCTGGAAGTGACTGCTGGGCCCATAGGTCTGATCAAATAGTCATCAGTCTCTGAAAGACAGTAACCCAGTAACCTATGTCCTCCCTTGCTGTGGATCAGCTCTAGCTGCTGTGATCTTAAAGCCTGACTCTCAGACAAGGCTGATGTGTACAGTTGCCTGGGTTTCTATCTGATTGTTTTTATCTTAAAGCAAAAGCTATTTTGGAACAGAAAAGGTAGGTAACTGGGCAAGTAAGGACTTCAGTTGCTCTCCACTAACTGCACCAACTTAGTTTTTGTGCTACCTGACGGCTTTATTTTGTTGAACTCTTTCAGTACCAGGCTGCCTGATTCATTTGATATCCAGCAACAGATTCTGTTTAATTCATTAGAAATGAAGAGTGCTTTCTGCTGTTACATACTCTTCTTTCTAACATAGACCCAAAGGGACCCTGCTAGGGTGCATATGGTGAAAAAACATTTTTTGGTTTCCTTATAAGAGTGGAAAGGGTGCCATGGTCAAACTGGCATGGAAGGGTAGGGACCCTTGCTGATTTGTTTCTATTTACCACTTTGCAGGTGGGTGTTAAGTATCTGGAGAGGAAATACTATTGCCATTATGGGTGAAGCTAAGGCAGCTGTTCAGGCAGAACAGCACTACAGGAGAACAACTCTCGCAAAGGTGGGACCATGGAGGGGACTTAGGTCACTTCAGCCAGGAAGTGAAACAAGTCCAAGCAGGGATTAAGTCTAGATATAGTACAGTAGTATTAAGCACAGGGAGGTGGACAGCTTCCCATAAAAAGGATGCAGGGAGTTTAGGTTAGAACCTCCCATCTCAAGAGAGGTCCCTACAGGCTTTTGCTGAGGGTAGAGGAAGGGAGTGAGGAGAGTGGACAGTTTTCCCTACCCTCTTTCTTAGAAGGGGAAGTAGATAGATAGTTGTGTAGAAAAACATGGCAGATCTGCCAGAAGCGGGAAGATGCAGGCAGTCCTTGGACTTGCGACACAATTGATTCCTGAAAACGGTGTCTCAAGTCGAAACATTGTAACTTGGAACTGATTTTTCCCATAGGAAACAATGTTATAAATCTGGGATTCGTTCCTAAACCAAGGCCCGATACCCTGTTTTCACCAAAAATAACCCAGAATTTTGTACTCAATCAGTTATAGCTAAGTAATATAGCTACATTAGTGTATTTATATTGTAAATAGCAATCATTGATTTAGAAGGACTTATTTGAGGTGACTTTGCTGGAGTTTTTGAAGGGTTCTTGGATGGAATCTTCTCAGGAGTCTTGGCTGCAGGTTCTTCTGGAGTCTTGTCTGCTTTCTTAAAGAAAGTGTCCAAGAAAATTTGGACAGCTGTTCTTCAGGGAGATGGGTAACACAGCAATTTGTTTGCTGGCATGGCGTCACATCAGATCAAGCGTTGTAAAGTTGAAACTGACGTCCAAAAATTGAAACAGTGTCAATTTAGAAGTGTAAGTGCGAAACTTAACTTGAAATGTTGTAAGTTGAGGACTGCCTGTATCTTCAGCAGATGGAAAGGGGGCCCAGATGGATGGTTCCCCTCAGGAACACTGCTGTGGCAATAAAAATTTCTGTTAGGAGTAGGGGGGTGCACCTGCCTGCTGAAGTTGGTGTAAGATAGAGTTGGGGGAAGTGTGTGAATGCATTTCTGATAGCAGAACAGTTTGTCTCCACTCCAGCATCTAAAGAACAGGAAGGTATCCACTAGGATCCCATGTCTTCCCTCTCTCCTTAGGTTTTACTGGAGTGGAGGGACATCACCTCTCTGCAGGTGTACTGCCATCAGCAGGATGCAGCAGCTGTGAGGGAAGCCAGGAAGCATTTGGATGCAGGTGAGTTTCTAGGGGACAGGAGATGTAAAGAAGTCACAAAAAGGCTGGGTTGCTGTGACAGAGTTGTGCATGGTTGAGTTGCATAACTCCAATGGTACCATGTTAGTATGTGTATTCTGGCTGCATGACTCCAAGAAGCACCCTGCTCCATGTGGCAGCCACACATTTATTCTCTGCTGATGAGATGAACTGGATCTGCCATGAGAACTACTGGCAGTGACATTGCTCTGGAGAGGTTCATGTCATATAATGGGTACCTCTAATCTCTGAGATGTGTACAAATGAAGGCATTCTTTCTGACCTGATGGAAAGGGAAGTGTCTTGTATGACCTTTGAGCAGGTTGCTAAATCTATCTTATACCTCAGCTCCCCATCTGTACAACAGGGATAATTCTCCCACCCTCATAGGAGTGTTTGGAGGAGAAAATCTGTTAATGACTGCAAGATGCTTACGTACCTTGGAGCTGAGGATTGTACAAGAATCTTGAGGGAGGTTGAGGCAAAGCTTGATTAGAATCATTTATTATCACTAGTGCTTTCTTTCCACTTACGGTTCTTAAAACACTTAACCAATTCATGGCTAAGGCTGCGGGTGCACTTATATTTAGGGTCAACCTCGAGGTCATCCATAATTACCTGGAGCCACGTGGTTTGCTCTTTCCCTCTCTACATGGTACCTTATAATCAAGGGCCCTGGTTTTCTCTGATTTAAAAAACAACAACAACAAAACAACCCAATTTTTGGATTTAAAAAAATAACCTAAAATCCACATTTTTCCATGATTTAAAATGAAACACCATATGTATGTATGCATGTGGTGTTTCATTTTAATCATGAAAAAATGTAGATTTTGGGTTACATTTTTTAATCTGAAAATCGGGGATTTTTTTTTTTTTTCAGAGACAACCAGGATCCCTGCTTATAACCCACTCAACAGTCACCCACATTGTGCTATTTATTTCTCAGACACCGTCTTTTAGATGTTTCTCAGATTCCCTTATGATGACATAAAAGGCAAACACCTTTCAGGAATCTGACTCTGGACTTGTCTCTTTCCAGGTAGTGGGAAGGAGAAGGTGGGTCAGAAGGGCTGAAAGACGGGAATAGGGAATTGTGGGATTTCAGCTGGCAGACTTCCTGTGACTAAGGCCTGCGGTGGATGGGTAGGACCCAAGCACAACAGAGAAAGAGTGAGCTGAGGATGAGCAGGAGAGGGGTCAGCAAGGGGGAGTCAGGGTAGTAGGAGTTAACATTAGCAGAGCTTCCAGGTTTAGGGCAGACTGCTGCCAGGGGTTGAGTTTAGGGGTTTGCAGCATAAATGTTTTGTGGTTACAGGCTTGAAGATGACTTTAAGGTTAGCCTTAACTATTAGTGTAGACATAACTGAATGGCATAGTTACCTTCCTGGTGGGAGGTGGTGTTATCACCACTTTCAGAAGGACCCCAGTCATGGAGCAGTCAAGGGTCTAATTATCACAAAGGATGTCAGTGACTGAGCTGGAAAGACATCCTCGATATCCTGACTCCCTTCCCAGTGACATAACTATAAGACTATCTTTCCTCTCAGCCTAAATATTGTCAGTATTGTGGACTCTCCATTTTAGAGTTTTTTTAAGATCTGACTAGACAAAGCCTTGACTGGGATGATATAGTTGAGGATAGTCTTGCTTTGAGCAGGGGGTTGGACTAGACCTCCTGAAGTCCCTTCCAACTCTAATTTTCTATGATTCTATGAAATACTGTCAAACAGAGGAAATAGAAGAACTGGTCTCATAGCTGCTTCTACCTTTGATAGAGAGCAGGAGGTCTCCTGGCCCCTTAGCTCATGACATCTTTTGTCAACAGTGCATCTACAGGCCCTGTTTCTTCGCTGGAAGGAACTTGCCAAGAGGTCCATGGTGTTGAGAACCCAGCTGGACACTGCGGTTCAACACCGTGGGAGGTCCTTGCTCAGAAACTGCCTCACTAAGTGGAAGCAGTATCATCTGCAGTGCATTGGGAAGATGGTGAGAAGGGCTAACAAACTGGAAAGTAGGGGACTGGGAAGGTTCTGTGGGAGGGAGAAGCCATCTACGCAGCAGTCTTCTGCAAAAGGAATAGAGCTACAGGTGAAGCCCATTCCCACAGTTTAGGCTGGGGAACAGTGTGGGAGTCTCGGCTAGTGTGGAGGAGATGATATCTGTCTCTTCTACACCAGAGTACATAGAACTCTCAGATGGGGTGATGAGCCCTCTGTTGGGAAGGGCTGGGGGATTTTCAGGTATGGACCAATAACTTTCTAGGGTAGAAATCCTTTCTGGGTTTGGGCACTTTTTGAGAAATGGATCCTAGATCAGTGTGATCCTGAGGATGTTTGTCAGTAGGACTCATTGTACTGATTCCCTGGCAGCTTCTGCAGAGACAAGGAGACCAGCTGATGGCTCGAAGACTCTACTCCATTTGTTTCTCCTGCTGGAAGAGACAGGTGAGAGATTTGTCCTCGCAGACTGGCCTTCTGCCAGTCATGCTGCAACCTTGTCCTTCACTTTTCAACCAGTGTCCTGGATTTGCCACGAGAGGAGTGAGAGAGCTTGTATGTCAAATATCATCTGGGCAGACATCTCCATTAGCATCAGATACACCCATCACATTGACCTCAGGGCTTTCATACCAAAAAATAACCTTTTCAGCTGAAAGGAAAGGATTGAGTTTCTGTGAAGTTTGCCTTGCTCACTTGTGGTTGGCGTCTGTCAGGTTGATGGTGGGCATCATTCAAGGAAAATGTCACCCCTAGTGAATTATATTAATCAGCTCTTTTGTTGTCATTACAAATGTCCTTTGGGTGTTAGACAGCTGCCCTGCATGCTAAGGAGTTAATCCCTTTCTGCTTTCAAAGCTGTAAGGCTAATGCCTTGAAACCCAGCTTAGGACAAGCCCAGTGTGCAGTTTGTATGACCCTCGGGTTGGAACTAACAGTGGGGACAGTGGACAGCTGTATTCTTCCATTGTCATCCCTTTAACCTAGGGTAAATCAAATCACTCTCTCTCTGGCTAACGTTAGTAGTGGGATAGGACCCTTAGCATACAGTATCTAAATGCTTAATCCAGCCACTGTGCAATTTGTTTTGCTGACAGCTGGTGCAGAAACAATGGGAGAAGCAGGAGACAGTGTGGGCGCTGTGGCACTGGTCACTCTCCCTGCAGGCAAAGGTAAGGAGTGTGTTACACAGACGGGTGCATACCAGGATCTGTGCTGAGGGTGTGCAGGTGTAGCTGTGCTAGGTAGGTTCTCCTTGGGACCACCATGTTCTGCTTTGGGATGCTTTGATCTCTGATGCTGTCCTCTAATAAAAGCATTTGTCTTTTCTGTCCAATCCCAGATGACTTCCTCATGCCTCCCCATCTCCCCCTGTCCCAAGAGGGAGGAATAGCCATAGTGCATCTCTGCATGCTACTATCCTGGCCTCCCCAAAAGTTCCCTCTTCAGAGGATTGATAATTCCTGTAGCAGCACTTTGAAATCTGGCCTTTTTTTTTGCTTCCTACAGGTGTTTGATGTCTGGCTGGGGTTTGTCCAGGAGCAGCAGAGGAAAAAAGGCCGCATTGAAAGTGCTGTGGGAGTTTACCGCGCCACTCTGCTGAAAGAAGGTGTGACACGGATCTTGAGATATGTGGCTGGCATGAAACAGTTCCGGGGACAGCTTCAAGCCCAGCACCAGCTAAAGGTAAAGGGGCTGCATGTTGCCATTTGGCTCCATGCACCTGGTCCTGATCCCTTGGCTTCTGAGGTGGGGGTGGTGGCAAGGTTGAAGTTCTGCATGGACCTAGCAGTATTCCTTCTGTCCATTGACTCAGCTCAGTTGGAGCCTTTCAGACTGCTGTCAATTAGCATCCTTGAAACTGTACTCCCCCCTGCCCTATAGCTGCTTGCACAGCACAGCTAGGCAACAACTCTGCCTGTCTGCAGTGTGGCTCAGAGTTTCCCTTAGTGTGTGTTCAAGTAGTGGGGCAGATGCTGTCTCAAACTCAGTGATAGTCTACACTTTATTTAACCCCCTTTCAACATGGATGTCACAGCCATACAATGGGACCCTAGAGGCACCTCTGAGCTCTGCAGCTGTGTCTAACTACAGGAGAAGCTGTGTAGCACCAGGAAGTCGGAATACTCATTCAAAAATACCTGTAAACAAAAATCCCTGGGCACTGTAGGAAGTGACCTTTTAAAATGCCCAGAGCCAGGTACCTTCAGTCAGTGCTTGTAGCTCCTATTTAGCATCAGTTGCCTTTGTAATTCAGCCTGGCCTTACAGATAGGAGGGGGACTTGCCAGCTTTATCCCTGCTGCTGTTTCTGGGTAGGACTCTGCTTGCTTCCCTGTTTGTAAGAGAGTCAGATTCCTTGCCTGATTTGCTGGTCCTGGTGCCACAGTGGTGGCTAGTAATTTTCTCTACTGGACTGAAACAAGTTGGACTGATACTTCCAGCACTGGGAGCTGATATCATGGCCATCTTGTCATTTTGACCATTTACCAAGCCCCACCTCTCTCTGCTGGACCCTCCTCTCTGGGTGGCGTGGTGCTGTGTTTCTTCTTTCTCCATCAAACGATCTGCTGTTTTCTGTGTTTTGGCAGGCAGCCTACAGCCTCCACCAGTCAGTGTACCGTTGTGCCATGCTCTGGAAACAGAAGGCTCTCTGCAAGAGTCTAGACCAACCTCGCTCCTTTCTGCCTCCTCCAAAGAAGCGGGTGACATTTAAGGTGCCTGCATCTAAAGATGGCTCCTGGGAAAGAGGAAACTCAGCAGAGAGTCTGTGCCTCATGAAGAATGATGATCTTCCATTCCTCCTTGCTGCTGGGGACTCTGTTCTTAGCGAGCTGTGAGTGTAAAGCTGAGTGTGACCTGTGTCCCTAGCACTGCAGATCAGGTTCACTTTCTTAGTCCTGCAGTGACCACTATGAACTTCCAGCTGTTTCCTTCAGCCCTAACACTGCCTCATATGTCTGCTCATGCTGAACACTTAAAACTGCTGCATAATGCATGTGGCTCTCCATGAATAATGAAAGGATTGGTGACTACATGCTTCCCTGGCGGCTGTTAGAAGGTTTAGCCCAGTATAGTCTCCCAGAGTTGCTTCCCTACTGTATGGTAATGGGTTGCTGGTATGCTAGTTGGCCTCTGAGGTAGAATTGTCCTATAGGGGAATGTGAGCCCAATAGTACAGGAATAGAAATATTACTACCATGAAACTCTGAACACAGTGACCCAAGTGGCACTAAACCTGAAAGTCTTCACAGCTTTTCACTCTCCTGGTAAGGGCTAAATGTAATGAAAGAATGGGCTGCAGTGTCAGTGTCACACTTATACTGATGATCAGTTTTTCCTCTCCCCTCCACATTGTGGGGAAAAGGAACTGTGTTCTCTCTGCCTCTGTAAAAGTTTTCCCCTCTGAAGCCCTTGACAGCCTTGCTGATGCATCTCTTCAGGAGATTTTGTAGAAATTTTGCAAAGCTGCTTCAGTCCAGGACAGGAGTCCCTGGGGGGTCTAGGTAACTGTTCTTCTTGTTCTTTTCCCAGAAATGCTGTCCGCCAAGCAAGGTTACAGCCACGTCGCCCTGACTTCCTGCTGGGATCTCCGGAAAAAGAGAAACTCCTAGGAACACCTTTCCCTAAGTAAGTACACTTTAAAAACAGGGGAAAGGAAATTAAGCATAAGGGCTTAGTTATCGCTACTCAGCTGCTTCTGCCACATGAATTGAATATACCCTGTTGCAAATAGCACACTTTGTTATGTTATGACTATCTTGATTTGCATCAGAGGGTTCTATAGAGTGTAAAGAGCACAGCAAGCAGAAAAGCTTCAAGCATCTTACAAAATGGACAGTAATGTAGCAATCGTGTTAACCTACCGTCTCCCAAGAGCTCAGTTTCCCCCAGTGAGGGAATGACTAAGTTAATTTAAACTATGTTCTGTGACACGACTGAAGTGCTACTTGTGTTCTGAAAAAATTCTGCAAAATGGCTTTGGAGCTTTTGCCTTTGGTATACCTCTGATTTTTCCACAATGGGACTCACTTGCCAAGCCAGATGGCTTTTCTTACTGCCAGCTCTGCAACCTTAACCCTCAGGTCTGAGTCATGAGGGTGTTCGCTGGCTCTTGTGCTCTAAGACCCTGCCCTTCCTCACCCCATGATGCAGATACTACAGCTGAACCTGTTGGCCTTGCCACTAGAATGTTTACCCACAATTCAGTTAAGTGCATGAGCTAGAACCCTTCACCCTCTTCTTTTTTTAGCTGAGTTGGCTCTTGAGGGCTAAGAGGAGGGAGAAGTAATGTTAGTAATGATCATCCTCAAACTCTCTCTGAGCACTCCCACCCTCCCCCAACCCTATAGCCCAGAACTGCCCATTAAAGAGTTACCAGTTTTGTTGTTTCCCTTCTGACACTTGTAAAGCTGAGGATGTTCAGGCAGGCAGCACTTAAACTGTCGTGAAGCACTCTGCTTCGGCTCTAGTTACCATATCACTTTTCTTCTGAAAGGAGGGGGCTGAAGCTGTTCTTGCTGAGAAGCTACAGTTGCTGCAGGAAAACATATATTAAAAATACTTAGTTTAAGTTTGCTTTGAAACTGTGCTCTCACATTGGGTGTATGGCTTCTGCTTCAGAGAGAGAAAAGAAGCTACATTTTAGAGAAGTCTGCTCCTGTCCATTGTGTGTACTGTCGAAGTCTTGATTGAGTTCTTGTCCTGGGACTGAAAAGAGGCAGAAATTGACTCCTGGTGCAAATGGTGTGTTTCTGGCAGCTTTAGGAAATACATTTGATTTTGTTGGTTCTTCTGGGCTTGTGACTGGGGATTTACCCGCCTAACAAAGTAGTTACCTTGGGTGCTGGGGGAAGGAGTCCTATAGGTTGCCACCACCTCCTTTGAAATTGCACTGCTCCTGCATTGCACTTCCATTTCTAATGAACTTGTGCCACAGAATTAAGATCATATCACTGAGCCAGATGCTGTAGTATCGTTGGGGACTGTAGGGGATCGGTTGACTCCTCAGGATGGGTTTGCTGCTGCGTCTGTATGCAACCATAACTGCTTCCCTTTGGCTACCCTGCATTGAGGATAAGAGACCATGTGGGCCGTCTGGAATGTAACAGCACCTTGCCCTTTACTTCCCCTTCTAGAATGGAGGGAGCAGAAGTGCCTTTGCAGCAAGCAGCTGTGAACAAACATTTTGCTCCAGCCAAGACCTTGCTGCCATCGACTCAAGCAGACAGAAGCAGCTATAGTTTGTCACTTCACATGGACAGCATTACAAACACAGTCTGCCCCCTTCGTGCATCTGCCCCATTGCCCTGTATACCATCTTGGACACCTGCCATGCAGCATACTGTTCAGACAAATCCAAAGCTTGAGCTATTGCCTCCCTCATCTTTCATGCCACGTGTGAGACATGGATCAGAACTGGTGAGTTTTTTGAGGAGAAATTCAAGTAACTCCATGAGTGACTGGCTGCTTGTTACTTGTTTACTGCTTCCCTATTGATTTCCCACCCCCTTCTTACCATCTTCCCTGAGTTGTTCTTTGCTTGTCCTGGCACCTGCAATAGGCTAAGTTAGCAGGCTCTTAAAATAAAATGATCCTTTCCATTCCACCTGCCTGTCACAATAGCCACAGTCTGAAGAAACAGTTCTCATGATCAGAGCAAGTGTATTTGTACTGCAGGAGAATTCACGTCTTGTTCCTGATTCTGGCATCTGGCTGGGAGGAAAATATTCAAAGGGTTCAGCATCCACTGCCTGTCAAGCTGAGGAAATCTAGTTAAGAGTAACTCATCTTGGTAGTGCCTACTTTTTGTGGTGGTTTTTTGTTTTTGTTTTTTTTTTTGGGAAAAGGGTAGGGATGGGGATGTGGGGATTCTTTAAGAGCTGAAATCCTTCTTGTTCCATGGAAAAGCTCTGACCACAAATATCACCTGAGGAGCAAGGCAGTGGGGAGGCACTGGTGGACACCCAGGAAGTACAAGGTTACTTCTGGAAGCAGGGTTTAGTGTCTTGCATCAAGTGGAGGGTCCTGTCTGAAAGGCCTTCTCTGGGGTTGTGCTTTACCCTGTTTAAGGGCAAAATGACTGTTTTATCACCCTACAGTTCTCCTGCCTTTGCAGATTAGAGGCAAATCCCTGAATGGTCACCCAGAAGCCACTCCCCAAGACACACAGCAGGCCACTGCAGGAGAAGAGATGGTGCAACTCAACCCACAGGCACATCTGCTGAAACCTGAAGGCTTTGCAGGAAGAGAGAGAAGCCCCAAACCTGCAGGTAGGTCTCAAGATCTAACCTACAGTTGCTGTGCTTCTATCAAGGTCCCCCCAACAACTGCTTCCCCTAGTGTTTGGGAAAATCTTTTATGTGTCTGCTTTGGAAAGGAGAGCTGCATCAGGATGCTGAAGAATTAATTGGGGCACAGGGCTCCTGGAGAGAGAAAGATGTGAACATATAAGTTCAACCTAGCTAGTAAGAAAAGTTATGTTATTGCTGGCATGTGTATATGCACATCTTTGTAAACAAGCTTTGGGGTTTTGAGGAAAAGGGGAGCCACCTGGAGGAAAAGGTCTGGCAAGGAAGCAAGGCCCACCCCATGGGGCTCATTATACCTGTGTTATAATTATTTGCCATCTGAAATGATTCCTACCAGGTAGGAATCATTTTTAAGATTCCTGGTCCTGGTGCTGCAGGCTAGTGTGATCAGTGGCTGTTTCCACTATGGTCATGAATCGTAAGATCTAAACGTTCTGTGGGACTAAGTTGAAGATCCTGCTTGATAGTGACTATATGCTGTGTGGCTGCTACCAAGTAGTAGCCCTCCTGGCCCAGACCACATTTAATTATTAATGGAAAAGCTCAAGTACAAACACACTCTGGTACTAAGCCTCTGCTTCAGGGTCTCATGTCTCTTGCATGTGAGAACAGAACCTAGAGAACTGAGTGCATAGTACTGGAGGTCTTGGTCAATGCTCCTTTGGGGTCCTGCTGGGCATAGCCTAATCTAATGCTGTTAGCAAGGGAAGAGAGGCTGGAGATTGCATATTGCAAGGTGGTATAATGAAAAGGATCCAGAAGGGTGGTGAGTTCCCAACTGTCTGTCTTAACAAGTAGGCACAGGAAACGGACTGTAGCTTTGCAGTGTCATTGTGTGTGTACCTTGGGTTTCCTTTCAGGTAAACGTGAACAGAGGCAAGGCAGTTCAACCAAGCGAGTAGAGCTGGAAGCAGAACTCCAACACATCCATCTGGAAATGCAGCATTACTGCGACAGTAAGCGGGAGCTCAAGTGCGTAGCATTCCTTCCCTTCTAGCCTCAGTCCAGTGCTGCAGTGCCACTGTTGGTGCAGTTCAACTGTTAAAAATTACCCTTTTCCACTCTTACTTGAACATGGGCTCTGGGCCTGTTCTGTTGCCCCTGCTGACCTGTGAGGGGTTGTTATAGCCCTGCAGAGCCAGTATTGCTTTCTCACACTTCATCATTTGGTTTAGGTGGCTTGGGGCAAACACTGAAGAAAGTAATACCATAAGGGCATCATTTGAATACTTTGTAGCTGAATTGGTGCAACTGAGTCAACACTTTGTGTGCGGTGGTACACAAGGGAGTAACTAGCATCATGTTTGGCTCCCTTTTTAACTCCCCAGTCCAAATAATCAAATACCTTTCTGAAAGTTCATTGGGGCTGGCGTTAAGCACAAGCTAGCAGCAAAGCTCCAACTGATTTCTGTAGCCAAGGCACCTTAACGCCTCTGCCAATGTACTCCCTGCCTTATGTTCATTGGGGCATGGACTAGAACCAGTCTCTTCCTTTTCCCTGATTAAATACCTTAACCACTAGGATATAGGTGTGTGCTTGTGTTTTCTTGCTGCAACATATATAATCATTCCATGACAGCAGAGCACTTTCTATAGGGAGACTTAAACTGAGCCAGACTACCCAATAGTTACATGGTTGTGGAGCATTCACTTGTCAGGTAGTGGATGTAGAAAGTCCTAACCTGCAGCTTGAGCTTGCATCTTGCATGAATGCTTTAACAGCTGAGCTGTGACCAAAAGGGGACACCTCCTCCTGCATCTTTTGCTTGGTCAGAATCTGAGAGTGCCTTCTGATGTGGTTCGATAGTTGGATTCCAGTGTGGCCTAGGCACCTACTTGCTTGGCCCTGTCAGGATGTAGGTGTCCTGGCATGCAGGGAGCTTGCCCAGTGAGGGTCAGATACCAGTTGAAGAGTGAGTTTGAGGCTTTGTATTTTAGACTCAAGGCACTTGCATGCTTGCCTCCCACCTGGCAGGCACAAGCCAACCTGAGGGGTTGCAGATTTGCATTTACACAGTTGACTTTTAATAGAAATCTCTTCTATAAAGCAATCTGTAAAGAGCAGTCACAGAGCACCTTCCTAGTGCTGTGCATGTAATGCTAGGCATGAGACACAGAGCACCTTCCTTTTTCTTGCATTGTTAGTTCTGTACTAAACAGGAATCTCTGATTTACTCTATCAGGTCATGTCAGCGGCAAGCACAGATTCTACATAAGTGGCTAGATATGAGTACAGGTGGCACAGGCCTGGAGGAGCGTGAGGCTGTCCAGCATGTTCAAGAAGAGTTGGAACAGGTACGTGGAGGGGGAGCAGGCAGAGCAAACACTGACCCCATGATGCTGTTGTATAGAAGTAGTGAATTGAATGGTATTGCAGGATTGGGCTACTCTTGCTTGCTTGTAATGCATAATGTTATAGAAGCATCATGAGAGATTAGCAAAAGTAAGGGGGGTGTGAGGAGGAAAAACTGTTTCCCCAAGCAGAGGGGGCACGGAGTAAGAGTGGAAAAGGAACCATAAAGTCTGGGGGTATTACTGTACTTGTGAGGTGTGGCTGTACTTCCTGAGCTGGCTGGGGTCAGCAGCAGCAAAACTGACACAAGGTGTGCTACCCTACAGCAGTTCACCCAAGATTTCTAAGTAGCTAAGCCGCACTGAAGTCCATGTTGCGGTCTTCACTGCTTCCAGTAGTCAAGCGAGCTTGGGTATGTCAGTGTGCTGCAGGCTGCTCTGATGGCATTTCATTATCTGAGGGGGAAAGAACCACAGCCCAGCTGCACAAGGTGTAACACAGTTCAATCACTTAATACTTCCTAATCAATCAGGGGAGGTAATGAGAATGACTGCTGGCATGGTTAGCAACTAAACTACTTGGACTGCTTTAGTCACCATCTTAGCCCTTTCCTCTTCCCTGCTCTCTTTCACAGTTGGTGCTAAGGATCAACTCTCTGGCAAAAGTGCTCTTGGAGGGGAGACGCAGAGTGCAGAGTTATGTCATGCGTCTACAGGACATTCGTGCTGCTCTGGCCATGTAATGAATCCAAAACTTCTGAAGAGTAGTTCGTGTTCCTTGGTAGGATGATCACAGCTCTGTCACTGATGGGGAGTGGGGACACAGAAAAACTTGTCAGGGGAAGATGATAGTGAATGTCCATGCCTCACTGAATCACGAACCAAGCCTGGCTCACCAGTTCATGTAAAACTCCTTGCACATGTGTGTGATAAAGCTGCCTTTCCTGTTTTATAAACTAATTTACATTACATGTTACCATATTCATTTACCACAACTGTAAATAGGTGGGAGAATTTCCTGTTGCATAGCTCAGAAATGTGCATTCATACAGTAGCCCAAAGTTACTCAAGCGATGGGTGACGAATACCTGGCTAGCAAAGTTGCCCCTACTATTTTAAGACAATAAGCAACACATATAAGACTTTTTATTCAAAATGTTTGCAGGTAAATGAGTTAATGTTCATAAGTCATACACTTTGACATACAAAAATACCGTGCTACTGATACAGTTGAAAAATTAAATGGATTCTCCACGTAGGAGAAATTCACAGCATCACTAGTACCCTCCAGGAACTCTGCTTCCCCTTTCTATGACCAGTGCTGATCTACGGCTAAGATTCCTCTTCCCCAGCCATCAGCCAGGCTTCCACAGTGCGAAGACTACCATGCAGAATGACCTGCCTCTTTTCAGATTTATGTTAAAGTAAGCAGCAGCAACTTCTTCTCCACTGTTAACCTAACCATGGCGCTCAGATACTATGGAGGATGATGCCAAGTAGTGAGAAATTAAAGCTTAGAGTTGCTTTGGCCATGCCCAGAGGCAGTTAAGCCCCAGTGGAGGGGGTGGGTGGAAGAGATTCAGTCTTCCTTCCTTTGACCCACTGGAACAGGTCCAACAAGTTGGAATTTACAAGAGGCTGGTGACAGCTTTAACCCCTGGGGCTGATATCTGTCTTCATGCACTTCACACCCTCAAGTTTTTGTTTTTAAATTTCTGCATATTTGAAACCAAACTGTTGTGATATACTAATACAGGAGCTAACTTGCTAACTGAAAGGGTTTAAACAAGGTGGCTGGCTGCTAAGAGCCACTTTAAACTTCTACAAAAACCATCCCCATAGAAAAGGAGGAAAGACTGACTCAGAACCAAAGGATCCCCCCCTCCCTCCCCGCCACCACGTGTGCATCAAACAGTCAAGATCACATGGTAAGTATTTGTCAGGCTGTGTTAGCAAACAGATTACATCATCTCCTCTTCCCTACTAGGAAGCTATATATACAGGGGCTTGACAAACTGCACACTTACAACAAAATTCCTTTCTATTTTCTGCATGGCCCAGGGGGAGTTTAGACTTTCCTTCAACACAGCTGAACTGCAGGGAGACGGAACAACAAGAAGGTATAGACTCCTAAGAAGCTTTCTTCTCAGAAGACCCCTTTAAAGTACCAGATTAAGTAAAACATCCAGTACCCTGTGGCATGTGCACCCTCAAGCCAGCATGGAACACATTCAGACAGGAGTTTGAGTCAATTCCCTCACTTGGCCTAGTTACTTACGTACAGGCATTTGATTTCCTGGACTCCAAATAGAATTTATTTTAGAATAGATAACATTGCTTTAAAAGTGAGTTTCTCTCCACCCTTTTGACACCAGTTGCTGTCAATCCCGTTACTGGTAACAAGAAGCTTAACAGACCAAGTATTAGTGTCATGTTTCACAGACTGGTTGAAATGTTAATATCTCCATTCTAATCCTCCTTGGTATGAATTTACAAAAACACTTAAGTTTGCAACAGAATGAAGCTTCAGAACAGAGCTCTCAGCCCCAGCATCTCTCTACCAGCTATGAGGGTGAAAAGTACAAGTTTGGCTTCTACTGTGATAAATAGTTTTAAGTTCTTTGTTGGATGGAAAAGCAGGTTAGTGCACCAGGGGAGCAACCTGAGATTGCTCTGAAAATTCACAATGGTTCTGAACATAGTCAGTGCACGTGGTATTTCAATCTATGCACTAACAATAGGCCCTGAAGTATTTCAAAGTGTTTAATAAATGAAGAAATCCCTCCACCCAGAACTTAGTGACAGATCCCACAGTTTATGACAACATAAAAAGCAACATCCCATGAACAGCAAAAGGAGAATACACACTTTGGCTGCCTTTGTAATGTAAAGCACAAGGGGGCTCTGTGATAGAAACACCCCAAGCACTGAAAAGGCAATATACCCCTTAACAGTTATTTTTCCTGTCACAATCTTCTCTTGCAACAGCTTGTCATTGGATGAGCGTAACTGTCAGCCACATGAACAAAAATCCTTAAGGCCTGGAATAACTAAGTAAAACCACAGAGGTGGAAATTGAATGGGTGGGGCTGACTGCTACAAGTTTTAAAAAAATCCTTAAAAAAGATGATTATGATAACCAGTTTGACCACGTGGAATGTAGACACAGTGTTTTCAGGTTAAAAATACAGTACAAAGTCCAATTTAAAGGGACAGTGTCAGGTTACGAACTTTTGAGCACTTGGCATTTGTTGCTGATACATTGGATTGTTATGACTGAATGAGTCTAAGTTGCTTTCACCAATACTGATGTTGTTTTCTTGTGCACTTTTCCTAGTCTGGCCAATGAAACTATACTAGGCAGTTTAGACTTTATGGTTGTCCTGTATTAACACGATGCTGAGTGATGGTTCTGAAAAAAGAATGTGGGAAGACACACTAGGTAGTTTCAAACCCAGATTTTACAGAACTGAAATTTTAGATCTTGATCAACCTGTCAGTGTCCCTTTAAATATACTAATCTCTCTGCCTTCATCCCTCCCCCTTGCAACTACAGAGTCTGGGCAGGCCCAGTAAGGACCTATATACTCTGTAAATGTAATCAGTTTTCGGCAGGCTAAAGTGGGGGAGAGCATGAAAGACTGCAGGCACAGGGTGGAATAGGAACCTCCCTGGTCAACATTCTTAAAGGCGTCTGTACCTGATATGTATATGAATTATCTGATTATTTTACTGCACTCAGCAAGGGTGTGCAATATAGATCGCACACTCCCAGTTTAACAGAGCAGTGATGCATGTTATTTCCCTTACCCAGGTCCTGCTGAGTGATATTTTCTGTTTAGTGAAACATTTCCTTGTACAGCTGAGTCCTTCCATGTATAAAATCTTCTTGCTCTGGTAGTTCCTATAGGGACCCCAGGGCTTCTCCAAAGCGAATTTTTTGTCCAGGTTTGAGGTGGAACTTGAAGTCCTTGGGTGCCTCAAAGATGAGAACGATGGTTGAGCCCAGGTTAAACTCGCCTAAATGTTCTCCTTTCCTCATGGGGATGCCCTCCTTGTTGTTGTTGGTTATGAAGCTGAAGTCATTGTAGGAGCCTTTGGAGTAACGTGGACTATTAGTATGCAAGTCCTGCACGCAGAGGGAAGAAAAAGCCTGTCACGTGTGCATTTCAGTATCCTCTATTCATTACCAGGGCTACAGTTTCAAAGCAGTAACTTGCAATTCAAACAGGAGTGAAGAAACTACAGAGCAGATGCCTCAACCTGGTCCTAGAACACACACCCCAGTCCACAGAGTAATACTCCTTAAAAGTTATCCAAGTTTCCATTTTAGCTTGCTACTAAATTCAAAGAAAGGAAGGATGGACCTAGCTCTGCCTTGTTTCATTACATTAGAGAGACAGTATCCCTGACTTCCAAAACAAAGCTTGATTTCTTGTCATACCACTCACCTGGTCAAAGTAGATGCGGATAGAGCCCACGTTTGTGGCTCCTACTGCTGTTAGTGAGAAAAAGCCATGTTTCCAGTCCCCTGTGAGGACAACACGCTCATTATGGCAGAAGAGCTCCTTGATCCAACGAGCAACCCCTGGATTCACAGACATTAGGGAGCCTATAGTAAATAGGAAGAGCAAGGTTAGGAGTCTTTATCAAGCTGCAGCTTCAAAGTCACTAAAGGCTGGCCTGGGCCAGCCTTTACACCCTTAGGCTGCGTACAGACAGAAAAACCTCAAACCTGGCACTTCTGTTTAAACTCTGCATGCCCCCATGCCAAGCCTGGTGCTTGCCCAGAAGAGGCAGTGCATTAGTTGGACCCAGCTCATCCAGAGTCTGTACAGATCAGGTGCTTTAATGGAGCTTTTTTGGCACCTGTATCTAGTAGCTGATTGAGTGGAGCTATTAGCTAAAACCCTGGGTGAAGCATGTGGTCTATACAGATGCTGCAGAGCAGAGTCGAACCAACACACTGCTTGTTCCAGTAAAGCATGGTGTTTTTTTTCCATGTCTGACAGCACCCATAGTCACATGAATCAAGACTAACATAGCTTAGCAGATCTCAACTGCTGTGGGATTAGGGCATGTTACTACTCTAGAGCAGTGGTTCCCAACCTTTTTTATACTGTGGACCAGCAAGGGAGCAAAACAGGGTGAATGGAGCTGGCTGCCTCCCTCCGGGGGCTGCCCCACCACTCAGTTTTAACCCTGTACATGACTGCCAACAGCGGAAGCCACTTGCCTCGCCAGATAGATGCAGGGCTTGTGCCACGACCTGGCAACCAACCCTTTGCGGCCCAGTGATTGGAAACCTCTGTTCTAGAGCAGCCCTAATGGAGGACTTGAATAGAACTGAGAGAATTCAGAAAGTACAACAAGCAGGGTTCACATCATCTGGAAGGGCTGTACTAAGACAAAAGTGATTGAGGAGAGGGGAACTCTAAATGGCAATCCACATTATTCCCACATAAAATTCCTGCAACCCTATGGAAAGCATTTGGGAATGTCTGTACTTCCTTAAGATATTACATATGCTAGTCAGAGGCAGAAACATGACAAAGTTAGATTTGGAATTCTAGAATCTAGATTCGCCAGCTAAGGACCTACTGAGGATTAAGTCTCTAAAAGTGTTTGATCTTTGACATCTGCAAACAGTTCCATGGGTGCTTGAGCCCTGGAGCACCTAAAGACTCAGCACCTATGTTTACATCCAAACAGAGTTAGGTCATGACACTATTTTACAATGAGCCTAGCACTGAACAGATCAAGTCCATTTTCACCTGTAACTTTTCAGATGTATCAGAATGTTCCTTATCATGAAGGTGCTTGAATCTCTTCACACTTTTGCCACCAATGGGAAACATGCTTTTAAATATCAGTTATCCCATGGCAGGAGCTCCTCACCTGCCCAACACTCCCCTAAGGAGGCAAGATCTGTGTTTAGATTTGTCTGAAAATATCTGCCATTACTCAGAGCCTGCTTTATCATCCAGAATATTTAAGCTCCTGGCTCCCTGCTGAAGAGTTAAATGAAAGGGAAAATATTCCTACTAAAAAGGTCATTAACAGGGATCCAGGTTTCTCATGGAAAAACAGCGTAAAATGCAGACTTCCCCCATTATTGGAGTAAAATGCAGATTTCTCATTTTAGCAGGGAAACCTGTGGTTTTTATACTGAGCACATTTTGCAAGGGAGTGGGAGGAGGGCTGTCAGGCAGGGGGCGCCATGTGCATATATATGCATATGGCTCCAGGCAGCCTGAGGGGCAGCTCCCACAGGTAAGGGGCGGGGGCAGAAGCCCCCCCACAGGAAAGGAGTAGGGCAGGGCTAAGGTTGCCCAGCCAGGCAGTGTGGAGCTTGGGGCCCAGGGCCACAATGCACAGCCCCAGCCAGGAGTGGGACAGAGCTATGGGCAGCTCATCTGGGGGGCATGGGGCCAGCTTGCTGCCACTGCGTGAACTGGAGGGGCAGAGGGAGGACCCATGCCCCCCCAGATCTGTGTGCAGGGTGGGGACAGAGGCAGGTGTGCACTGCCCACTGCAGGCTCCTGTCCTGTTGCCCTCCCCTGGGGCCGCTGCAGCTCAGCAGGTGTAACCCAGTGCTGCAGCAAGCTCCATAATACCCTGGCAACTTGGGGGGGGGGGGGGGGG